TTGAGTCTGTTTTCTGAGTATCAGTTCAAGATTGTCAGGCATAAAAAATAGAACTAACGTACGAAGGAATGAAAATTGGCTAAAAAAAAAACAGTTGATTTAATCCTACTGGGAAGTGACATTACATCAATCAGATTAGTTGAAACTATTTTATTTCTTGACTTCGATGGCTTCCAGTTTTCTATTAACTGGTTTTTATAATTGAAAATGGGAACATTTTTTTTAACTGTGTCATTCAAAGTCAAGATGTTACACTGACAATTTTTTTGGGTATTTTATATCTTCAGAGATAATTGTTTTAAGACTGTGGTAAAAAGTTTTGTTATATGTGTTTCATGTTCCATCAATGGCCCATACTTCTTTTGTCAATAAAGTCTAAAAAAATAAAACTTTGAACATAAATTGAAATTTTTTTTTTTTTTTTTGGTTTTGAAGAGTAAATAATTAGAAATGTTTTCAGATACTATAACTGCTTCATTGTTATTTTGAACATAAATTTAAATGTTTTTTTTGAGTCTTTTTGGTTTTTTTTTTGGATATGAAGAGTAAATAATTAGAAATACTAGCATTATTTTGCCTTTTTTTTTCTTTTTTTAAATCAACAATTGTATAATCCTTACCAATAGCATTAAAGATAAAAAAAAATCTCTGCTAAATTTGTTTTTTCAAAAGAAAAGCAGTATTCTGAATTAAAATTAATCCCAAGAAATTGAAATGGGATTTGCTGGTATTTCAAAAGTTTAAATTTTTAAATTCAATATTTACTTTAAACTTGTTTACAGAAGAAATTACATATTTATACTGTTTTTTGAATAGCATTTAATATTTGAAGATCAGACATTTTCTCCCCAAAAAATGTGATTATCTGGTATTTCCAATTTTTAACTTCAAAATCAGAAATTCTGAATTTGACCGATACAAGAGAGAATATATAAAGCTAACTAAAAGATTCACCTTTTCTTAAGGTAAAAAAGACCTTAATGATATGTAGGGCTGCAACGATTCCTAAAGTGGCGATCCGATACACTGAACGATACTCATGTAACGATACGATTTATTGCGATAATAAATCGCGATTCTTTGATTAAAAGGGAAAGAAAAAGAAAACTGATAATTAATAACATTTTAACACAGTTTAAATTATTTTAGCACGCTTAGAAGTACAAAACTCACTTTTCATCATTTGTGACACACAAGGACAAACAAATTTCTTCAAAAAAATAAATAAAATATCAAACCATCGAATACAGCTTCGTGAAATTATTTTATGACTATGCAAACACATATTACGTTGGAAAAAGAAAAAGTTTATATCAGATCCCATGCGATTAGCTTCCACTTGGCATATTAACATGTTCTCTTTTCATCGTTTTTTAACAAAAATTAAAAATGCTGAAGACAAATTAATACATGAAAAGCAATTTTTTAACATTTGAACATGACATAATTTCTCAAATACGCGAGGATTTCGTGCTCTTAGTCATTAAAGGGAGTTAATTATATTTATGAGAATCCGGCCGATGTATCGCGATTATTTTTTTCTTCCGCAATGCATCGATAAGAAGGAACGAATCGCGGTTCATCTATTCAACGGTGAATCGTTGCAGCCTTAATGATATGTGAATTAACTTCTGTTAAAGATCAACAACCTCCAATTTCTTGTTAAATATTTTAAGGCAAAAATCATTAATTGAAATCTTTAAGATGGAACCAAGTCACACAATATGTTACTCAACATAAACAGAATCTACTGACTAAGGTTATTGACATTTTTTGAACAGTTATTTCTCTAAGTGGTTCTGAATTTCATATTAGTGCTTAAAGAGACAGGTATGCAATTTTTGGAGGTTGATTTGAGTCTTGAATATAAGTAATAGTCTTCAGAAGTACTAGAAATGTACGAAAATTGCATAATTCCTTTAAATTAATTCGAACTAGTAATTTTACTCACTATTTCTATATATGTCTTTTTCTTTATATCAAAGAGTATCTTAAAATTACGAGTCATCATTTTAACATTTAAACACAGATAATTCTGGACACACATGGATTTAAAGGCTCAAATTTTGACAGTGAGATGTGAACACTATAACTAATTAGCTTAGCTAAAAAAATTCCTGTTTCTGAGACTAAAGTATGATTGGTCTAAAAGAATGGCAAACCTGTTCCTTTAAGATTTTTGTGTCCTTCTAGTGGAAAGCATCACAGATTTTTCATACAATTTTCATCTTTTATAAACAAGAATTGTGGCCAAACTAAATCAGTTGAGGTAGTAATCCTTATACACTTTTATTTTTACTTTTACTCCAGTTTTAATTACATTGAAGAACACCCTGAATTTCAAAATAGCAACTTGAGATGACAGATTTAATCCCATTGTTTTTGTTTTGATGATTACTTTTATCAATTAGAAACTCAGGGTTATTGCCATTATTAATAACATAACATAACAGGATGTTTTTAAATATACATGTAGTTCCATAATTTAGATTAAAATTGGAAGAAATTGTATGAAACAATATATAATCTGAGTCTATTTAGAGATACATCAATAATTATATCCATTACATATTGTAGTATAATACCAGGATTAATTACTTAAAACTAAGGTTGTTCCATGTAATCTGGCTCTATTTGTCCATCAGGGCAGGTCATTGGCCCATAATTCCTGGAAGACTTTTGAATAAGTGACATGAATTGTAAGAGATTTCAGAATTAGATCTTTAATATTGGCATATACATACAGATAACTAAGCAAGCACCCACAACCATTCCCAGCCTTTTTACCCTTACAATACAAATAGTTCCTGTTTACCCTACCCATTCTGTTGTTAAATCCCAGCCTTTCAGGCACAGAGAGAAAATGGCGCCAATTATTCTCGACTAATTGTGCATCTTGTGCAGGTGACTTTTAGGGTGCATTTGGCCACTTGTGGTTGTGTGGAAAATATCTATCTATCTTATTATGGCCAGTGGTACATTGTGTACGGTTTACTGTGTGAAACTACCTCTGGCAAACAGGCACAATGCGCATGCATTATTGGCATTTAAAGATGGCAGCACCCAGTGAAGTTGTGACAGAATCAATCCTACATGATAAAGATTAAGCTGTCTATACCATATCTGATAGCCAGACCAGTAATAACAACAAAAATAACTGCACTCTCTATTGCTCTTCATCGTTTGAACTGTCACTTCTGCAGTCGTCCGCCATTTTGAATTGTCATGTTATACAGCTCACCTGAAACTGGTGCTGAGCAAAAGGTGTTTTGAAGACGAGGAGTAGTGAAGATGTGTAAAATTCCCTCCTTGTGCGGAATCTGAAGCTTTCTTTGAACCTGTTTTGAGAATCATGCTCAGAATTGGATCCTACACACCTAGCCTAGCTTTTGTCATGATTAATCATCATTTATCATCATGAAAAGCAATTTGTTTGACCTTCGCAGCAAATTCTCTCCATGCTTCTCTCACATTGAGTCTATTTTGAGAATCATGCCCAAAATTGGATCAGCTTGGTCTCGAACATCCTACACCCTTCCGTTACACCTAGCCTAGCTTTTGTCATGGTTAAAGAAATAATCATTTATGATCATGACAAGCAATTTGTTTATGATTGAGAATATTCCCCCAAGAGTGTTATTTTAATGATGTTCACTCAACTAGGACGCAGAAATTATCTCCATGCTTCACTTTTATTGAGTCTATTTTGAGAATCATGCCCAGAATTGGATCATTTATGATCATGACAAGTAATTTGTTTACGATAGAGAATGTCCTTATGAAAACAGCCAAGAGTGTTATATTAATGATGTTGTTATCTATGATATGTTCGTTGAGTCATCTTTTAGAAAAATACAAATAGACTACCTGGAGATACAAGGCTTTATTTTGAATTTACCTAGAGCTACAGACATATTAATTATATCACCATATCTACTCTATTATTTTGTATAATATAAGCCTGGTTTATAGAGAAAAAAGAGTGTATTAATATAATAGGTTACATATTACTGTTATAATTAATTAAATCCTTGATGTACAAATGGAAGATATTAGGTGGTGTGTGATGCAGGGCTATTGATACAGGATGAGCTGTAATACAGCTGGCAGTGGAATGAATTCATTTGATGAGTTACAGTGATCGTGGGTTCTTATCTCGGTCAGTATGTGAAAACTCTATAGACGGCCAAAATCATCTTTCCTCATTGTTCCATATGGTTATTTTATTTCTTTCTAACATTGTGTCCACATCATACCAGTACCTCACGAATTCAAATTTTTTTTTATGATATGGTGTATTTTTGAGACTGAGTAATGTCTGCATCATGAATTGTGTGGGCTCGTGGACTTTGATTTGGATAGGAACATGTTGGTTTTCTCTTTTAGTTCAAAGGCAAAACCCGATATTTTTGAAAACTGTATTATGAATGCTGACAATTGGTGGGAAAATGGATATCAGAGGCTTGCTAAGAGAAAGGGGTACTTAGAATCAAAAATGTTAAGAATAAGGCCTTAAAGGGATTATTAGAAGAGGTTTTCTAAACTTTGTATGTTTATCGAGGACACTGATAGCAAACCTGTTATAACAGAACATTAAATATGTCACATTTTGAGCAATTTCAAGCGACTGTAAGGAGATTTTCTAAATTTGTAATGTGTATTGGGTACATTGATAGCATCAATTTGCACCATTCAAATTTTCAATTAGACGTCTGTTTCATGCAATTCCATTATGATTTTGATGATGTCACTAATAGCAAAGGACCTTATGTGATAATGCATGTTTTGGGATTAGTGATGTCATCAAACACTTAGTTTATGTGGAATTTCAAGAACCTCAGATGTTTGATTGAAAATTGCAATGGTGCAAATTGATGCTATCAGTGTCCCCGATACACATAAAATTTTTAGAAAACCTCTTTACAATCCCTTTAACATATATACTATTATGATAGAGAATTGAAATATTAGCTTAATCAAAGTAACAAATTAGAACTTACCTTGAACTAATTGGAACATCTCACTGACCATATACAGCCAGAACCAAACTGAAAAATAATTCTAAACTACATTAGGAGCTGTTATGCTATGCACATTTATTAGCCATTTAAAAGGAATTTGCACTATTTTAACTTATGTGGCTTCTGTAATACCACAGAAACATCAATTCAAACCAAATAGTACTGAAATTAGCACCATCATAACTTATGTTGGTTCTGTTATACCACAAAAACTTTAATTCAAATTAAATAGTACTGACAATAGTACCATCATATCTTATGTGGCTTCTGTTATACAACAAAAAGTTCAATTCAAACCAAATAGCACTTGAGCAAAACATACTTAGACAACCTCTTTTGATGTCCTCCATTAAAGGCATTTGGAAGCTATTAATGTATGGTTATTTTGTGATGTTTGGGTGAGCCAAATCATCCTATTATTCATATGAATCTTCATTTCTTGTATCAGCATCTGACTTTTTTAATTTGTTGAATGAAGCAAAATTTTTGTTCCATTATGAATAACTCCAAAAAATCTTATTGGAGTGAAATGTTAAAATGTAGCTAATGAATAATACTTTGAGATGTCAAGATCAAGAAAATATGGCACTTAAGATCTTTCATGAAAAATTTGAATGAAGATGGAATGAATGATTTGCAGCAACAATCTCAATCTAAATAGTTATCATGTTATTGTACATGCCAAAAATGAAATGAATGGAGTTTTATGTCCTCCTTTTCTGCACCATGTGGGCTAATGGTGTATGCTTTTACGATTTCCAACTGTTGATGGATCTTTAATGTGCACAGCCTGTAGCACACAGCTTTTTTCATGTCAGCCATTCTTATCTGCATCACTGACAAGGGGTAAACCGGGTTGAAAAATCTGATGGTGTTATTTCAACCTATGCAGTGGTTGAACCCTGGATCTTCAGGTTAGCTTTCACTGATATATGTTCTTCACGGAAACAGTAATGATAATAAACTGAGGCCTTATGTTTCCCTCATTGTAGAATGCTTGGTGTATATATTATTATCAGACCAATCAATTCTATATATTTAATTCTGAATTACCTGTACTGATCTAAAAGACCTATACATAATTTATTTGCCTTTGGGTCTGTGTAAAAAAAATGATGCAACTTTGGTTATAAAAGATGTTGGAACTCTATTGAAATATTTTCAAGGGATTTCAACTTAATGATCAGAAAAAAAATCTAGTTTCTAAATAATTGAAACCGAGAGTTATTTGAAGTCACTGAGGAATTGGAACAAGAGAGTGAAGTGTTTCTTACTTTGTTTAATGTTATTGGAAAAATCTAGATGTGGTTCCATGGTTATCGCGGTATACTTGAGACTCCCCAATGATTGAATCAGATGACAGAATAATTGGAATTAGAGAATTTCAACAGGAAATTGTAATGTTTTTAAGTATGGTGTCCATTACTACACCCGTTTTAACCTAAGTTGTTCTATAAATAGATTATCTGAAGCTGTTATTCCATTGAAGTTGATTTATGGACAACTATAAAGGGATATATTTATCTATAAATATTTGTGTCTGTAGCAAATTTTTTCCTATTCTGAATCATTTTAGTTATTGTCCCTATCTATTTCAGTTTATGCCGTGTATGAGGGAGGTGTAATTTCGAAACAACCTGTATTAAAAAGAAAAATTTTCTTACCAAATTTATCAGAGAGACATATTTGCTTGAAGTTCATCTTACATCTTCTTGCTTTATCCCTTTGGTCTCATCATAAATAAGTTTGTTATTCTAATATACTAATAAATATTTCAGCTCTTATCATCTGACACTAGATCTGTAACAGACAAAATTAAAGACAATTATTACACATATTAAATTCTGTACCAACGTAAATGGTATTTGCAACAGAATTACAGGCTCAGCTGACTTTTATATTTTGAAACACTGGAATTCTTCATGTATAATAACATAAACTAGTATTTGTATGTACAGAATTACAGGCTCAGCTGGCTTTTATATTTTGAAACACTGGAATTCTTCATGTATAATAACATAAACTCGAAGTCAACTGGCCAATAGTTGTTTGCCTATCTGTGTAAATTTTAGTTTTACCAAATGTGCACAGTCATAACACTGTGTTGTCATCACCCTTATTCATTAAACAGCAATTTGCAACATTGTCAATAGTGCCATTATTTCAGGAAACAAAATTCTGCCATACATTGAAAAGGATACAAAGTATTGTATGAAACACTAGTCATAGAAAATTATATTACAATATCTCCATTGTAATCAAACCAACTTTTCTACCACAGTACTGTTCTAATGACATAATTATTAACCAATTCAAGGGTGCCATGAGTTCATGTCTCTAGATAAACAACACAAATTGTGAGATTTTGGCTGAGAGGAGGCTATCAAATTGATCTACTTTGGGCTTCTCTTGTTATCACGTAATGAGTCTTACATGACATTAGCATGGTGTATCGCCAATCATGTTACGATATGATACGTGTTGCGATACAATGGTCATGATACGATACATATCGTGATGTTGGTTAATGGGATAAAAAACTTTATCTGCAAAGTTTCCATATTTATGAATTTATAACTTTGATATTTGGTAATATAGTTGATTGGAGTGGCTTAGTCAGTGAAAAAAAATTGTGATTCCATTCACGTGTTTATAAAAATTCCCACCTTTTTTATGGAATGAAATATGATATGCATATCAATTCACTGATATATCGTGCCAGCACCACATGAAATGCTTAGATCTTTTAATCATAATGTCATGAGAACGAAACTTTTTACATACATAACAAAAAATATCAAAAAAAAATAACGAAATTGATTAATTAGATTGCATCAAAGCATGCTTGATGTTAAGAACTCATATAGATGTATAGCATTGATCCTTTTATGTAAACTTAATTATGGCATATTTTTTTCCAATGGGATGCATGTAGCTCTATCTGATGAACTCACTGACTTAACAGTAATTGATAATCATTTAAGTACAAACACAGTTCAGTATCTTTCCTTTGACTAATTAACTGCCTTTCCGAACAAACCTTTCTATTGGTGAAAACAATCAGAATCTTTGCCTTAAGAAAACTAAAATGAAAGGAAATTGACTTTAATGTCTTATATTCTGTTTCTGGATTATGAAGACCAGAAAGGTTACATAGTGTGCTAAGACGGGAATTTCACCAGGAGAGGATCAACTTACTTTTTGTTCAATTTTCAAATGAATGAATTCCTGGTTCATTATTCCGGTAATTGGCTGTATACATTTTCCATGCTTGGTATTTGTATACTACATTAAAAATTTGTAAATGGAAATGAATAAATCGTCATTTAATCATGACATAATAAAACAATATTTTTGAAATGAATAATTTCTTTAAAACTTCTTACCAAACCATTTCACACAAACCTAATAACAGATATTCTGTAAAGGGCTGATACTTTGAACAAAGAGATTTTTAAAATGATATAGATATGAATAGATGTTTAAATTTTTAGATTGATTTTTCAAAAATCTGTGAAGCATAAACTACAAGTTTTCCTTTATAATAGTCCTCCATTTTTGTCCTTGAAGAAGTTGCTATGAATATAAAAACAGCTAGCTTTTCAGAGGGGATTCCAACTTTAAATGATGCAGGTTTTTTGGGCTAGCATCAAAATTTAAAAAAAATTCAAAACTGAAATGAAATGAGTTTTTACTCTTCTGCAAATGATTGGGTTGATGGAGACAGACATTGCCATGCAGTGTGCAATGAGGGAAGTTTTGCAATACCAAAGATACAATTGTCAATATATTACATACATGTTCATCAAATAGGTTACACCACTGTATTATTTACTGAATATTACATGTATGATGTAGGCCTATTGGTACCATTTAATTTAGAAGGCTGGGATCATGCTTGCTTTCTTGTCTTCATTTCACATAATTTCACCTTGACATTATTTTTGATTCAATCATTTCTGAAGGAATAACAATATTAAATTTTTTGGGCCCCTAAGGGCCCTAAACTTGAAATATCAGGCACTATTTCTAGAGATTTCTCAGTAGGCCTATCCCTATTATAGATTTGTTTATTTTAGTTAACTGTGTCATGAAGCCATTGTAGGCATATGATCAATTTAATTAATTTACAAGGCTTAAGGCTTATTTAGAAAAATAAATAATCACTTTGGAGTTTCAAATCATGATTTTACGAACTTTGGAAAAATCTCCCGACTTTTCACCCAATCTCCAGATTTTTCAAGACAAATATCCAGATTTTTCAAGGCAAATCTCCAATTTTTCAAGGCAAATCTCCAGATTTTTCAAGGCAAATCTCCAGATTTTTCAGGCTCCCAGATTCTCTTTCAAGGCAAACCTCCAGATATTTTTTTTATTGACCTGTACACATGTATGTGTTCATGTGTTAACAGTGGTTATAAATGGATTTAAATATCATATATTTAAATTTTCTTTGTAATGACCACTTCTCCAACTGTTAGGGGTATATATCATGTTATTATTAGCTGATGGAACCGCGGCAAGGAGTTGAGCCACCATGATGAAATGTTCATTGTAAAATTAAAAATTTTTTATTAGGCTAACAGTACAAATAAGTGAAAAACTGGTAAAAAAAAAAATCTGATTTTCCAAACTATTGTTCACCTAATCGAATCACAGAACATATTTCCTTTTAAATTTCCATGGTAACAGAAATATCAACTTTTAAATCCTTATGTTTAATGTAAATAATAATGGCTATTAGAAATATATGTTGTCAGACACAGTAACATATGCTCACAGTGTTTACTAAACTTTGTTGATGCCCTGGACACATTGCATTACCCACTTCTTTGTATTAGTATCTTGGAACCACTTATAATCAGAAACTTTGCTACAGACGTCAAAAATAACCTGGAAATCCAAAGAGAGTAGGCTGATGCCATTGTCTTGCCACACTGCTTTGTCAGCATCATTAGCCCCTTAGAGACCACATTTTTTATTTATAATATTAATGTGTATATTTATTTATAGTATGTACTCATAAGATCTTGGATAAGTTCACATAAGGGTATAATTCGACAAATGATTACAGAATTTCAACCCTTGATACGCTGAATTATTTTAAATGTGGCTTGTGAACACGATAGAGGTGACAGATTATGTCAGAATTTTATGAAATTTTATGTGAAGGTTTAAAATTAAATCAATAATATCTTGGACTATTTAGATTTTTGGTACGATATGACAAAGATTGACAACTGACCTTGATATACGTAAAACTTATCAGGAAAATGGGCGTATCTTGCTAGGCAACCACTTGTTTGATAATGGTCCAGGAAACATTGGAATTATATGTAACAGTTTCAGACATGTTTTTAGAGACAATGGTCTTTGACTTAAACATTCAAGATGTGTTCAATAACATAAAAAACAACAACATCTAACTAGAAATATTGATTGCTATAAAACACTATTGAAAATATAAAATAATGTCCATTGATTTGGGTGGAGTTTTTTTTAAAGTACATTTTGACTAGGCTTGACAGATTGATATATGGAGCATTTCCTTTCAAATGTTTTCTGACAATATCTGCTTCAAAATACATGCTTTATAATGAGTAATACGTGTTTATTATTGCTGTACTTTTAATATTTTCGATGACCCATGATGGCTATCTAAATAGCTCTGTCACACCTGATTGCGACCATTTGCAATCTTACGGCGACCAAAATGCACTGGATCCAAAAAAACGTGAAGAAAACGAGAGAAAGAGACTCATTAAAAATGACAAAATCTGTAACAGTCGCACTCAGACTACTATATATTCCACCATATTGCGTTCTCAAGGCAGGTTTTTAATAAATCTATGGGTCTATGGGCTTGGTTCATTTCATTTTTATTGCATTCATGGAGACAATCTCCACAGCGATCATTTGCAACAATAGCACCAACCTTATGATACCTGATGCTTCCTACAGGCTTATGGCGAAGCTAAAACTCTCTGAGCTAATTTTCTGTCATGGTTGCAACTCAGTAAGGACGCCTTTCTGGTGTGATGGAGCTTTACAGAGAAACAATCTTAAGTCATATAATCCAATATGTATAAGGTAATGTAACTAAAACCGGTTTTACTGTACAGGCTCAAGTTAAGCAGGTAAACTGAGGCTGGGCTGTATATGCTACAGGCTATGCTTGTTAAAAATTCCTTGACAGTTTGGAATGAGAAAAAAAACTGACAGGCCAAATCTTGAAAGAAAGTAATTCTAAGGAACAAAATCAATCTGAAGTCTACCACTGGAATATTTAAAATTGCTACTCAAATTCTATAAAT